GTTGATGTGGATGCGACCGAGCCTCGTGTGGCAGGCGAGGTGCTCGTGCAGACCAGCAGCTCGTCGGCCCACGCAACCTCTACACCAGCAGCAAGAACAAGAGGAGACCCAACAGTGACGGCGCAGGCACGGAGCCACCGCCAGCCTCGCCCGAGTGAGGCGGAGGGGACGCAGTTGGCGCCGCACGATCCTGCCACAGTCGTAAGGCTGGACTCTCGCAGGCGTCAGCTTCATCTCAGCCCCGTCCAGCGTGAACTGATTTGGAGCGCACGCCGGGAGCAGTACCAGCAGATGTTGTTGCGCATGGTGACATGCTTGCAGTCCCACCTTACGCCGATCGAAAAGTGCCACACGCTCTTGGCGCTGCATGAAGAAGTCATTGAGAAGCGTCTGCGGCTGCGCGCGGACACGTACGATGACATATTCCATATCTTTTACGCTGTGGCGACGCTTGGCAGTGCGGCTCCCGCGCTGGATGCGGAGGAGGCTGTTGGTCGCAACCGCACCTTGGCGTCCTCGAGTCTCCTGCCTGCGGAGTTTGCAAGTGCCAGTGTAGCGGCGGCGTCGCTCCTTGCCGGCCCGCTGCTGCAGAGCCTGTGGACGATGTACCGCTACATGATCGACAGCGGCACCAACCCGACGCCGCGCATCGTGCAGCACATGATGGGCGTTCTGGAGCGGCACCGCGCCAAGGACCCCATCGTGGAGGCGCGCGCTCACTCCCTCATGCTGGACCTCGACCGCTTCCACCTGCCGCCGACAGAGTACACCGTCGCCGCATACATCGGGGTGTGCGATAGCAATGGTGCGATGCACCTCGCCGTGGCACGCGTGACGGACTACCGCACACGGCACGAGCGGCAGGCGTCTGCCGGCATCTACGCCCGGCTGCTCTTCGGCCTGGCGCACAACCAGCAGTATGACGAGGCACTTGCGTGTGTGACGACGATCGACACAGTTGCCGTGACGCCCCATCTTCTTAACGCGGTTCTGCATGTTGCCCGTCACTCCCGCAACCCACTCTCCGCCTTTACCTTCTACAAGAGTGTGGTGGGGCAACAGGGAAGGGGAAAC